GACAACATTGAAAGTAAAAAATAGGAATTTTTTTTTTAATTGAAGAACACATATATTCTAAGACAGAATAAAGCATACTGTATCCTGAAAAAGGTAAATACAACCAAATTCATACTTGGACTCATCTAGTGACAATGCACAATAGCAAGCAAAATGAAATTTATTATAGGTCACTTAAATAGGAACAAACTTCACAATGAGGCCATCCCACATATCAGAATATACAGATTTTGGAAGTTATTAGAATAATATTTTTCAAATAGTAGGGTAAAGTAACAGTCAATTCAGAGATCTAATAAAGTAAAATAAGTATTGAAGAATGAAAATAATATTAAGGTAGTTTTAGGCATACAAAAGAGTTCATTGATATCCACATTTACCATTGGAATTTTTTAAATCTTTTTTGGGTAAATGTCTATTCAGGTATTTGGTCCATTTATTTCAACTGGGTTGTTTGTCTTTTTATTGTTGGATTGTAAGAGTTATTTATATATTCTGAATACAAGTATTTTATCTCATACATATGACTAACAAATACCGCCCCCCCTTTCCAGGGGTTGTCTGTGCACTTCACTGATGGTGTCTTTTGAAGCACAAAATTGTTAATTTTGGTGAAGTTCAGTTTCTCCATATTTTGTTTTGTCACTTGTAATTTTGATGTCATATCTAAGACAAAATTGCCTAATCCAAGGATAGAAGATTTACTCTTACATTTTCTTCTAAACATTTTATTTCAGTTCTTACATTTAAGTCATTGATCCATTTTGAGTTCATTTTTGTATAGCATTTCAAGTAGGGATCCATCTTCATTCTTTCTCATAGATATACAATTGTCCCAACACCAGTTTTTGGAAAAGATCTTTCCCATTTTAATGGTCTAGAAACTCCAAAAATTAATTGATAATAAATGTAAGAGTTTGCTTTTGAAAGCTCAATTTTATTTCATTGATTTCTATGTCTATCCTTATATTGATATCAAACTGTTTTGATTATCTGGCTTCATAATTAATTTTTAAGTCATCAGTATTAATCACTCAACTTTATTCTTCTTTTTCAGCATTGTTTTTACTACTGTTGACTTCTTGCATCTCCATTTGAATTTTAGGATCAGCTTATCATTTTCTGCAAAATTGACAGTTGCATTTTGATAGAGGTGTTTTGAATCTGTAAATCAGTTTGGGAAGTATTGCTATCCTTAACAATTTTAAGTCTTTTGATCAATAAATGTGGGGTATCTTTCCCTTTATTCAGATTTACTTTAATTTCTTTCAACAACATCTTGTAGTTGTCAGTTCATAACACTTAGATTTATTCCTAAGTATTTTATCCTTTTGGATGCTACTGTAAGTGAAACTGCTTAATTTTATTTTTAGATTGTTTACTGGAAGGTGTAGAAATACAACTATTTTTTGGGGTATTGATAATGTATTTTGCAACCTTGATGAATGTATGAGTTCTAATAGTGTTAGTGGTGTCCTTAGGATATTATAAATACATGATCAGCTCATCTGCAAATAGAGATAGTTTTACTTCCCTTCCAAATCTTGATGTCTTTTATTTCTTTTTTGCCTAATTGCCCTGGCTAATATCTTTGGTATAATGTTGAATATAAATGGGAAGATCAGACTTCTTGTCTCGATCCTGAATTTAGGGGACAAGCATTCAGTGTTTCACTGTTACATATGACATTAGCTGTGTGTTTTTTTGTAGATACACCTTATCAAGTTTAGGAAGTTCCCCTCTTTTCCTAGTTCGTAGAATGTTATATCATGAAAGGGTCTTGGTATTTCTCAAATGATTTTTCTGCATTAAGATGATCAAGGTCTTTTTCCTTTTTATTCCATCAATATGGTATATTACATTGATTGACTTTCATCTCTTGAAATAATTTTTCATTCCTAGTATAAATCTCACTTGGATCATGGTTTGAAATCATTTTTGTACATAGCGCTGGGTTCAATTTGCTATTATTTGGGGTGGGGGAATTTGCGTATATATTAACATGAGTTATTGGTAGGTAGTTGTGTTTTCCTGTATGGTCTTTTCTGGGCTCTTCCATCAGAGTAATATTGCTTTATAGAAAGAGTTAGGGAGTGTTCTTTCCTATTCTATCTTTGGGACAATTTTTTAAAGGATTAGTATTAATTTTTCTTTAAACATTTAGTAGAATTAATCAGTGAAGCCATCTGGACATGGTAATTTCTTTTGACATTTTAAAAAACTAATTACTAATTAAATCTCTTTAGTTGTTTTCAGTCTATTCAGATTTTCTATTCCTTTTTGACTCAGTTATGGTTGTTTATGTATTACTGGTAATTTATTTTATCTGGGTTATATAATTTATTGAAATGCAATTATTCATAGTATTATATTTTATTCTGTATTTATTTTCCTTTAAGGTACATAATAATGTTCTATACTTCATTCCTAATTTTAATGATTTCAGTCTTCTCACCTTTTCCTTGGTCAGTCTATGTAAAGTTTTGTTAAATTTGTTGGTCTTTTCAAGAACCAACTTTTGGTTTCTCAAGGTAGTATATTTTTCAATTATTTTATTTTACTTTATTTCCATTCTAATCTTTATTATTACCTTCCTTCTGCTTGCTTTATTTTTTGTTATTTCCTTTCCTTTAGTTTCTAAAAGTAGAATGTTAGGTTATTGATTTGTAGAGTTTTTAAAGTATAGGTTCCTACTATACATTTCTCTCTTCACACTGCAGTAGCTACATCACATAAAATTTGGTATGTCTTTTTTTCATTTCCAATTATCTGAAAATATTTTTCTAACTCCTTATGCAATTTATTCTTTGGCCCATTACTTATTTAGGAGTGTATTTTTACATTTCCATGTATTTTTTTAATTTCTCATTTTCCAAATGTTTTTGGTTTCTAGTTTTATTTGATCATGGTAAGATACTCTGTATGATTTTAATCATCTTAAATTTATTGAGACTTGTTTTGTGGCCTAACATATAATCTATACTGGGTAATGTCCCACATAAGATTGAAAAAAATTTGTATTCTGCTATTTTTGGGCAGAGTGTTCTACAGATACTTGTTAGGACTAAATAGTTGCTCAAATCTTCCTCATTGATTGGTGTCTAGTTGTTTTATTCATTATTGAAAGTGGAAGATTGAATTCTCTGCTATTATTGTTAAATTGTTTATTTTTCCCTTCATTCTATCAGTTTTCATTCTGGATATTTTGGGTCTCGATTGTTAGGCACATGTCTTTCCTATGGATTGACATTTTTATCATCATAATATATCCTTCTTTGTTCCTAGCAACAGTTTTTACCTTATAGTCTGTTTTCTTTTCTTATTATAACTACTCCAGCTCTCTTTTGTTGTTGTTTGCATGGTATATCTTTTCTATTCTCTAATTTTTAACCAATTTGTGTCTTTGAATATGAAATATGTAATCTTGCTGGCAGCATATAATTGAGTCATGTTTATTTTTTATCTGCCTTTTGATTGGAAAGATTCATTCATTTATATTTAATGTAATTACCAATAAGGTAGTATTCATGTCTGCCACTGTTATTTGCTTTGTATATATCTTTGTGGGTTTTTTGTTGTTGTTCTTTATTTCTCCATTACTATTTTTTATTGTGTTAAATACTCTCTAGTGTACCATTTTAATCTCCTTGTCATTTCTTTTACTATGTAATTTTGAGTTTTTTCTTAGTGGTTGACCTTGAGGCTACAGTAAACATCTTAATGTAAATCTACCTGGTTCAGATTAATACCAATTTGATTTAATTATTAGATAATTTGTTCCTTTGTAGCTCCATCCCCTCCTTTTCCCTTATGCTGTTATTGTTATAAAAATTACATATTTATACATTATAAATCCATAAACACAGTTTTATATTTATTGTTTTATTCAGCTGTAAATATAAGAAAAAGATTATTTTTCCCTTTATATTTTTCTTATATTCACCTTTATGGTGTTATTATTTCTTTTTTTCAACATTTATAAGATATATTTATTATTTTTCTGACCAAAATGCAATGATTTTTAAAACTCTTTAAACAAATAACTGAAAAAAGTATTCAAGAAAATAAAACACAATGGAAAATTAACCATTAGATGTTTTTATTTCATACCAACCCTGCATCTAGTCTAGAAAACAAACAAAAACACTTTGAATGAAGTGTTACTAAAACACTAACCAAATCATTGACCATAAACCTAGCATATACATTTCAAAGTTCCACTGCTAGGAATTTTGTTAAGATCAGTTTAATCATTAATAACACTATATAATAGAGCATAGGAACACAGGTCATTAGATGTGATCTTGCCCCTTACCTTCAGATTTATGTCAGAATAAAGCTGACAATCCTACCAGGCTCTGAACCCCAGTGACCCCATCCCAATCCCTGGAAGCAAAGAAGATGCCCTGTCACACTACTTTGTATAAGTTGTAATAAAACAAACCTTAAGTTTTCTTACCTTTCTATAGGAAATGGTCAGTTATTTGATAAATACTAAAACACTTCTAGAAATTCATTTTATGAGTTTATCAAACACATTTTGCAAGAACCAACTACACAAAAATTTCCTTTGGAATTTGGTCTACAAATTCATTTAACAGGTTGGAAATTTGAAACCTGCAAGAAAACGAGGAAGTGGGGAATCCCTAATCCTAACGTTGTAATTATTAAAGGGATATACACACTTACTAAAATGTTTTGCTCACAGAAAGCACAAACTATGAGAGGGATATGCTTTCTGAGTAAAAACAAAGAACTAGCTGATATCCTTCTTTGTTTTCTGAACACCGTAGCTAAGATGAAGTTAGACCGGAATTCACCATCTACTCCTATAACCAAAAAAAATCTAAGATAAAAAATTTAATTTGTCTTATTACATACTTCCAGCCATTAATTGAGATGTAATTATGAAAGATTAAAATTGCCTTAAAAAGGGGTTGTAATAGCAGTTATCAAAGCAATATTCAAGCATGATTTTGAGGATGCTTTCACATTCAGAATTAGCTTTCTTTGTCAAAAATCTTATCAATTTCATCAAAAACTTCAACAGACCTAGAGTCATCTATTTTCTTGACTTTCCCCACTTCTTCATATAAGTCAATAATTGGCTTTGTTGACTGAAGATAGGTCTGAATTCTCTTTTCCAAACTCTCTCTGTTGTCATCACTTCTACCACTACTCTTTCCCCTCTCAAGACATCGTTCAATACAGATCTCACTATTACAGTAAAAAACTAGAATGAAAGACACATCTGCCTTCTCATCCATGGTCTTCTTCCAACCCTGAAGGTTGTCTTGATTTCTTGGAAACCCATCAATTAAGAATTTATTCTTCTGAGCATTGGCAGCCATTGTCTGATCCATTTCACTCTTTAACAAACTGATAGTTATCTCAACTGGCACCATCTTTCCATCTTTAATGTACTTTTCAGTGAGTTCACCATACTGTGGATCTGGGTTCTTCCTTTCATCAAGAAGAAGTTCTCCTGCAGAAAGGTTTGTGTAGCCATATTTTAGATCACTGATTTATTGTAAAGCGGATGTAACTCAGGAACAGTCAGATAGATGCATAGCTCCAGAGCATAGAGCTTCCATGCCTTCTCCAGACAAGTATCTCCCCCTAAATCTCCACGTGTTCACCAACCCCTGGTGTTATTATTTCTTGATATGGGTTTAATTACTATCTAATATTCTTTTATTTCAGCCTGAAAAACTCCCTATATTATTTCTTGTAAACCAAATCTGAGACAAATTCTCTGTTTTTCTTTATCTGGAAATGTTGTAACTTCTACTTCATCTTTGAAGCTGGATATTAAATTTTTGGTTGGTGGTCATTTTCCTTCAGCTCTTTAAATATGCCATCCTACTGTTTTTTCCCTCTGTGGCTTCTTCTTTTTTTTTTAAGATTTTATTTATTTATTTGATAGAGAGAACATGAGTAGGCAGAGTGGCAGACGGAGCGGCAGACAGAGGGAAAGGAGAAGCAGGCTCCCCGCTGAGCAGAGACCCTGATGTGGGGCTTGATCCCAGGATCCTGGGATCATGACCTGAGCCAAAGGCAGTTGGTTAATCCAAGCACCCTTCGCCCATGGCTTCTTATGATAAATCATTTGTTAATCCTATTGTATCTGTTGATCCTTGCATAGAGTCTCATTGCCCTTGCTGTTTTCAAGATTCTCTACTTGATTTTGGTTTTTGATGTTTTTGTTTTTGTTTTTTTATGATGTGTCTAGGAGTGAATCTCTTTTAATTTGTTCTACTCGGAGATTTTTTTTTTTTAGTTCTTTTGTATGTGTATACTAACAGTGCTCATCACATTTGAGAAATTTTTGACTATTTCTTCTTTTTCACTATTCACAAATTTTCACTAGTTCTTCAAGTATTCTTTCTCTATTGCCTTGCCTTCCGGAACTCCCAAAATTTGTATGTGGATATGTTCAATGGTGTCTCATAGATTTCCAAGATTTATTTTTTAAATTTTTTTCTTCATTTTTTATTTTTATTTTATTTTCTGGTCCTCAGACTAGATAATCTCAATTAACCTTCCTTCAAGTTCACTAAATCTTCTGCTATTCAGAAGCCACTGTATTTCATTTATTGTACTTTTCAACTCCAGAATATCTGTTTGGTTTATTTTTATAATTTGCATTTGTATCAATATTCTCTATTGGTGAGATATTGTTCAGATACTTTCCTTTAGTTCTTTAGTTATGGTTCTTTTAGTTAATTGAACATGTTTAAAATAGCTGACATAAAATTCTTGTCTAGTGAGTTCAATGTTTGAGTTACTTAGGGACAATTTCCACTGACTTATTTTTTGTGTGCTTATTGACCATACTTTCCTACTTCTTGGCATTTCTTATATATTTATTTATTTTTTTTTTCTTATATATTTTTTTTAAACTGGATGCTCAAAGTGATATAATGTAGCAAATCTGGAAATCAGACTCCCCTCTTCTCAGAGTTTATTGTTCTTGTTGTTGTTGCTTTTTTTTTCATGTTGTTGTTATTGTTGTTTGTTTGCTTAGTGATTTTCCTATACTAATTCTGCAAAGTCTATATTCTTCATCATGTATAGCCACTGAAGACTCTTCAATTAGGTCAGTGATAAACTAATGATTGGAAATTGATTTTCTTAAAATAATAAGACTCCTAACTTTTGCTGAAGGTTTGTGTGGCATGCATTCAATGCTCTGGCAGACAGTTTACAACACTGCCTTATTCTTCACTTCCTAGTTGCACAGAACCTCAAGATCAGCCAGAGGAAAGAGATTAGGACAGTCTCGGATCTCTTTTCAGCATGTGCCCAATCCTGTGCATGAATGTGGTTTTCTAGATTCCCAAGAATATGTCAAAACTTTTCAAAGCTCTTTATGTTTGTCTCATGCCACAGCTTTTCCTTTTAAGTTTTTCAGTTAGTTTCTTGTTCACCCGAGCTACATCACCACCTGAGGCAGTTGCAATGTTAAATCAATTGACACTGATTTTTCCCAAACATGCCATGGAAAAGAATTGAACAAACACTAAATCACTTCTAATACAAATAAGCCCAGTGTGAGGTATTTCAAGTAACTGCCAGATAAGTGAAATAATAACAATTATTTGGGTGGTTGGGAAAGCTCCAAACCTATTCTTCTCTCTCTAACAGGTATTTGGCTGCTGGTTCTCATGGCTACCATTATTACAAGACTGTTGGTTTGTAAGTCTCCCTTGGAGTTAGGGACAGCAGAAGGGGAAAAGGGCAATTTAACATTTCACAAAGCTCAATCTTACTGAGATTCAGCCATTTGTCTTGAATAAATATCCCTTGGATTATTGCCAGCTTTTGGTTAATTTACAGAATTCTGTAAAAGTTGATTTTAATAATATTTACCAGCATTCTCATGCTTTTATAGAGGAGTAAATTTTCAGAGGTAACTAACCCCATTATTCTGGAAGTGCTTTCCTTTTTTTTTTTTTAAGATTTTATTTATTTTTTTGACAGAGAGAGACACAGTGAGAGAGGGAACACAAGCAGGGGAAGTGGGAGAGGGAGAAGTAGGCTTCCCGCTGAGCAGGGAGCCAGACGCGGGGCTCCATCCCCAGACCCTGGGATCATGACCTGAGCCAAAGGCAGATGCTTAAGGACTGAGCCACCCAGGCGCCCCCGGAAGTGCTTTCCTAAATATTGTTTTTAAATTTCAGTACTGGCTAATAAAGCTTCACTGAAACCAAAGACCTAAGGCTCTAAATAATAGCCTTAGCACAAAAATATCCTTTAAGTCCAGTATTAATGCTACAGTTTATTTCTTCTTCTCTCTCTCTATAATACAGATGTAGGTATAGATTAGATATATATTGGAAACAAGAGAGAAGAAGAGTGAAATATTTAAAGAACTGACTCATACAATGGTAGGAGCTGGTAGCAAGTCTGAATCTTGGGCAAGTTGTCAGCCTGAAGATTCAGGTAGAAGTTGATGCCAGTATTAAACTCAAAGACTAGAAACTCATGCAGAGTTTCTATGTGGCATTCTGGAAGTAGAATTCTTTCTTCTCTGAGAAACCTCAGTCTTTGCTCTTAAAGCCTTTAGTTAATTAAATAAAGCCCATCGACATTATGGAGGGTAATCTCCTTCAGCTAAAGTAAAATTATTTTAAATGTTAATCACATCTAAAAAATACTTCTCAGCAGCTTCTAGTGTTTGACCAAACAACCAGTCACCGTTGTCTAGCCACACTGAAACCTAATATTAATCATCACACTTGCACATGAAGGCAGAGTTGAAATGGGATTCAAGGCTGCTTCTTCTAGTGACTTCAGGTCCATTTCTCCAGTTCTCTTGGTTCTTCCCATCCATATTTTACCTTTATCTTCAAAGAGGTAGATGCCACAGTATTCCCAGAACTCTCTTTCATTTGTACAGTACAAATCCTGAAGAAGAAAAACAGAGCTTTCACTAGCTCACAAAAATAAACAAACAAGAACGCGCTCAAAACCCCTCCAAATACCAGCTAGCATGACATTGGGCCAAATGTGTTCACATACTCATCTGAGAATTAATCTCTCTCTGGAAAGATAGAATTGACCCTAGTCTGACAAGATCCATCCCCGTAGATGAGGCTAGGGTTAACGTCTCTGAGTCCCAGTGTTGGAAAAGAATAGACAACTGAACAAGTTGGAGATCTCTTGGAAATGTTGAAGGGGAATGGATACAAAGTAGCAATCTGCAATGTCCTTCATCCTCTACAAACCAAAACTGGTTCTAAAGACAACAGCAAAAACAACAGGAGCAGGGGAAGCCACAGCAAAACTCATCAGAAGGATAAACTGCAGACAGAAATAATTAAATAAGAATAGAAATGCCTAAACAAACACTATGAGAAATAAAACTGGGGCATGACTATAGCTAGAATATTTTTAATTATTAATAAGAATACTTTGAACAAATTAGGCCAATATTTTATTTTGAACTTATTTTGTTATGAAAAGAGTCTTTAGAAATTTACAAATTAAAAGTATTTATTTTAAAAAAGCATTTATTTTTAAATGAGTAGAATGCCTACGTAAAACAATGAAATAGAGGAATTAAATTGTTGTCACCTCTACTTTTTCACCAAAAAGATCTCATTACAGATGTGGCTTTATAAACAAGTTCTGCCAACCTCAAGAAAGATGAGGAAGAAATAATTGCAAGATGATTCAGAGAATTTGAAAAGGAATGAAATTATCCATTTCATTATATGAGGGTATGGTAACATTGATACCAAAATAAGACAAATAGAGACAAAAAATAGAAAATTATGGCCCAATCTAATTTATGAGCATAGATGAAAAAAATCCTAAAAGACAAAAAAAAGATAGCAAATTAAAACTCGAAAAACCATTACTAGGCAAATTTGGCCTCAGGTGTGCAGACAAATATTTCAACATTATAAATCTATTCATGTAAATCACCCCATTAATGGATTTAATGCTTAAATCCATTAAAAAAATAAAATTAGCAAACATTAACATGAAATATTCTGAGATATTTAATACATACCAGTGATAAAAATTCTGAGCAGAGGGAAAAAAATAAAACTTGAAATGAAAAATATTTTTTTATAAAACCTATAGTAAACTTCACACTTAGGGTTCCATTTTAGAAGTGTTCCAATTAAATTCAGGTGGAAACCAGTCATAACCATTTTCACACCTGTGTGAACAGAACCAAACAGAACCAGCTCCAGACTCTCCTTAAAGGGATAGAGACTGATTTTATTCAGATGTGTGTGAGGGTGTGGTTCAGTGTATGGAAAATTACTAAAAAGAGACATCAAATATCAGAGGAGATTCTTGCGGAGGCAGGCCAGGATGACCAGATCTGAGGAGAGGAGGATGAGGAATTTGACTAGATATTGAGACTCATCACTTAATAAGGTTGGGGTAGATTCCATCTAAACTAACATCAGGGTTCTCACTAAAACTAGACTATGCACATCTGGCAAGGATAGGGGCCAAGGTCAAGACCTTGTCAAATACAACCTGACTAAAGTTGGGCGAGGACAGCATCTTGTCACCATATTTTATTAGAAATTCAAGACAGACAACGAAACAAGAAAAAAAGCAGCAAAAGATTTGAAAAGAAAAAGCTAATTTTTCCTTGTTTTAAAATTTTACTTTGTTTATCCAGAAAATGCAAAGGACTCTACAGACAAATTGTAGAGCATGCTGATTTGATGGATAAATTTAAAAACGGGAATACCGACAGCATTGTAAAAGCAGTAGCCACTTAGAAAAATACAAGTGCCAGTAAGATATTTTACCTTTTTCTATCAAAAAAGTCTACTTAAGGATGCCTGGGTGGCTCAGTTGGTTAAGCGACTGCCTTTGGCTCAGGTCATGATCCTGGAGTCCCAGGATCGAGTCCCGTATCAGGCTCCCTGCTTGGTAGGGAGTCTGCTTCTCCCTCTGACCCTCCCCCCTCTCGTGCTTTCTCTCTCTATCTCATTCTCTCTCTCAAATAAATAAATAAAATCTTAAAAAAAAAGTCTACTTAGAAAAATAATTTTGGAAAAAAATTATAAAAACATTGAAATACATAAAAGATGAGGGAAAAATTAGATAGCCCATTTCATGAATAAGGAAATGCCATTCTGATAAAATTATTAATAATAATAATTAAAGACAACAAAAGAAAAACTAATTCAAGCCAATATTTACTGAGCATCTTCCATGTGTCAAGCACCTTTTCCAAGTACTTTACAAAATGTACTTTATTTAATTCTTAAGTCATTCTGAAGATTGCACAATGATTATGTTCATTTTTAAGGTGTAGAAACCAGGCAGGCAAAAGTTAATTATTTACTATCACAATGAAAGTAAGAAGCAAAAGTGGAATGAACACTTTCAAATTCTAATCTAAAAATTTAGCACAACTCTAATTTTAAAAAATCCAAAGGAAAAAGTAATTCTCGGTGTATGTTTCTGTTATATAACTGTAAATTTTTCTATATTAAAATTTTTAATACGAAGAAATGAAGCAAAGTATATTCTAAGTAGGCAGAGGGTTATTGGCAAAATACAACAGTGTTTGTTCACTCTTACTCACAGGTAAGGGGCAAAGTAAGATGTATTCACAAATGCACCTGGAGAAATAGTATAATTTCAACATTTGCGAGACTAATGAATATAAGGTAGATGGATCTTCGATGAATTTTAGTAAGTGATCCTGACTCCTATTATAGCTAATTCACCTGTCTACAAGGTAGAATTGAGAAGTCAAACAAGAGAAGAGGCAGAGAACACAATTAGAAGGACACAGTAATTGTCCAAATGAGAGATGATGCCCACTCAACAGTAAATGTGAAGCTGGTGAGAACAGGACTTAGTAGGAAAGCATTAAAGAAGTAAGAATGGCTAGACATGGGGATGGTGGGAAGCTGAATGCCATGTTTCTGGCTTTCATGATTGAGCTAGAATGAAATGGATCTACATATTGAGACCGGAAGAATAGGTTTGGAAAGGGAATTATTAAATATGCTTAAGCTTAATTATGGAAATCCAGGGTAATACTTCTGCCTCTGAGTCCAAAACTCAGGAAGGATGTCAGGACAAAAGTAGAAGTCAGACAGCACATAATTAGGAAAAGGATGGGCTAAAGACAGAATGTTGGAGAATTTGATGTGTTATCCACAAAGGAGGAAGTGGAGGATCTTTTGGAAAAGGCAGAAAAGTGAGAACTTAAAGGGTAAGAAGAACCATGAGAGAGGTTGATAATGGGATCAAGAGAATAGAGTTGCAATGAGTGAGTGGCCCACAGTATAAACAATAACTTGGTCAAACTAAGGTATAGTAAAATAAGAAGAGCAAGAGCCCATTGTACTTGACAGGGTGTTGAGCATCAGATGATTTTTGTCAGTTATTGCGCTGCAGGGTGAATTATGGCAGATTTCATGCCTTGAGTTATCAGGCAATGAGAGGGATGAGGTCAAAGAGCAGGCTCTGCCTGTAAGAAGATTGGTTGAGAAAGGTAGGGGTGGGGCAGGCAGAGAGAAGCAGCAGCAGGAAAGGAAGGTGGGAGGAGGGAAAGGAGATATTGTTATTGCTGTTGTTTAACAATAAGATGTTTCCAATCTTAGAGGAAAGAGCTAAAAGAGGAGAGTTTTAAAGAGAGAAATAGTTTATGAAGTCAGTTCTTAGAGGTTACAAAAACTATGAGCAGAGCACCTCGGTGGCTCCCAGATGGTTAAGCGTCTGCCTTCGGCTCAGGTCATGATCCCGGGGTCCTGGGATTGAGTCCTGCGTCGGGCTCCCTGCTCCTTGGGAGCCTGCTTCTCCCTCTCTCTCTCTGTTTCTCATGAATAAATAAATAAAATCTTATTAAAAAAAAAACAAAAATACTATGAGCAAAAGTGGAATCCAAGTGCATGCTCCATCAGAGTTAGAGAGAACCATTTAGGAATAAAGTGTAGTCTGTGAACTGGACCAGTACTCCTCAAGGTGTGGTCCAAACATGAGCAACATCAGCAGTATGTGGTCTACTGAATTACAGTCTCTGCGGCTGGAACCCAGAAATCCACCTTGTAAAAAGATCCCTGGGTGATTCCTATGTATTTTGAATTTTTCATAATGTCATGGGTGATAGTTCACACAGATTTTTCAGACAAGATTTTTAAATCCACCATAATTATAGTCATCTTAATCAAGGAACTAGAACAATAAGGAAAGTGAATAGGAATTTGAGAAGATGACCTTCCTGTTTCAGGCTTTCATCAAGGGAGGTAAATGTGAAATCAATTTTTCCTTTTCACATAATGTACACTGCCATTAATTCTATTAATTTTATTTAGTAGTTCCAACTTATGTATTACATATTTATATATTTAAATGCATGGGATAGATGTATGCAAACTGATAAAAAAATAGCTACCTTAGAAAGTCAACATTTCAAAATATTTCTACAAAACATATTGTTGAGCAAAACTTTAAAAAATTAGATTAAAATTATCATAAGTGAGAAGTGACTTGTTATGAAATACAGCAAATACATATAATATGTCATATACACATGAAATATAATATTTGTTGACCTGTTTCCAATTGGATCTGACTCTCTATGCAATGACAACTCAGTCTTAAGAAGGGTAGCACAAAATGAAGATTAGATTTACTGGCCCTTTATTAGCCTTTACATAACTTTTTGGCCCTTCCTTTATCATGCCTGTTCTGGAGAGTTCACTGTTCTCCTGAGATGCTCACTATCTAATTGTTGTGTTATCCAATGAAATTGATTTTAAAAGGAGTCTACTATAACCCAGAAGGAAGCACATATTCCAGTGAGATGATTTTCATTCTAATATAAGGATTAATTCCTAGACTAGAATTTTGGTTCTACAAAAATTATATAACTGTTTTCTTCTAAAACTTTCCTGAAGTTTTATTTGAGTCTT